CTGACTACAACCCCCTGTAGCTGACCACAGCCCCCTGTAGCTGACCAACGTTTTTGGTCTTCTGGACACTTGAATCTCCTCCTTTGATTGTCGTATTTTTTCTGCAGAAATAACTTAATTACTCTGTATGATTTAGTTTGTGTGTCCCTCATCCAAATTCAATGTAAAATGAGATTATTATTATTATTATCCATTAAAATGTCACAATATCTGGCAAAGAGGTACCATATACTTTTTGAATTTCCTACCATATTATTATCATCAAAGTAGAATTTGAGGATGTTAACATAAATCCAATTGAGGTTTTGCGTTGCCTTTAAAAAATGAGGTTCACTGAGGCATCGACACAAAAGTAGATCCCTTTAAAAATGTTAAAACATATTTGGAATTGATGCATATGTCTGTATTTTAAGCTGTGTGTGCACAGAGCCTAACCGTGTGTGCGTTTTTCCTCTGATAGAAGTTGTTGAGAAGACTTCTCCTCCGGTTCCCGTGGAGATCTTCCCCTCCCACGCGGGCCAGGACCTCGCACCCACCCAGTCAGCCGGTACGACCAAAAACACTCGCCGTTTCTGCCTGTTTCTTCTCCTGAAGCGGGAGATTTTGTCATTTAAAAGCCGGATTGTACCATTATTGAACCCACAAACAGATTATTGTAGCTCCATCCACAGCAGTAAATTCCATCTTGTCAACGTTTAAAGGGACAGAAGATATATAGTGGCTTTATTTTAACCCGTTAAATGCGTTTTCCACAGTGGGTTATAGTACAGGAAGTGAAATGTCCAAATTTGTGACAGAAACTGTCACCAGGCCATTAATGGAGTTTGATGTGTGGTGTTACTGGCAGCTCCAGAACTATAAAGTATCTTGTTTCTTTAATCAAATGGTGTACAGCAGACCACTTAAATATAAACCAGCCACATTAAAATACATAAAATGCTCCAAATCACAAACCCATATTAAAAATAGAGCAGCCGATGCACAGCTGTAATAGCCTGGAGTGCATTTAATCTAACTTTAATTCATTCTTATCTCTCTCAAAGTGTCTCAGATTTACACTTAAATCTAAGATGAAGTTTTTGAAAAGCCAGAAAGTGTTTAGTTGGAGGAATTTATGCTCAGGGGATCCCTGACTCATCATTTGGTAAATATTATCTTTGTATTAACCTCTTGGATTTCCTCGAGTTATTCGGCCGTGGGAATTTAAGTAACTCTGATTTTTTTTCACACAGATATCTAAAAATAGACATGTTTCCCTTGTAAAAAAAAAAGTGGCAGCTGGCAGTTTGTGGCAAACAAAAACCTCTCTTGAGGGGCAACTCTTCCGGGTATTTATTTGCTTTACCAATGATCTTTGGGCTCAGGCAGAGTACCTGCAATAGTAGTCCCTACCATATAGCCTAAAACTAGGATAGGGTCCACAGAAAAATACCATGCACATGTTGACGAGGCCCCGCCAGAACCCTAAAACCCAGCTGGAATTCCACTTAGCTTCACCAGACACAACAAGTCCTCAGCATATGTGGTAAAAGGGCGTCCAATTGGAAAAGCTTGATCCTGGTGGAGATTCAAACAAAGGGTGTCTGTTTGAAGGAACCCTAGGCGTGAGACATTTGGTTGCTTTCTGCCGTGTTTCAATAGTCTGTTTGTTTCTGGTTAGTTACAAAGGAACAGAGCACAGTAAACAGAAATCAAAGTTTTTTTTTAACATTTGACTATCGCATAATTCAATTTAATTGTATTCCTCAGCTGTCGTAAAACGAATTCTGAGATGTTTAATGAACCGACAAAAGAGGGAGTTTCATTTTTTACTTGAGCCATTCCCTTTAAGCTAACTTAACGAAAGCTTCTACAAACATTTCACCTACAAATGCATTGTTTGAAAAATGAAAAAAAAAAGGAATTGTGTAATGAATTCAATTTCGATTCAATTCAATTTTATTTCTATAGCGCCACATCACAACAACAGTTGTCTCACAGCGCTTTTCCAAACAGAGCAGGTCAGAACCTACTCTGAAGTTAACTACAGAAACCCAACAATTCCCACCATGAGCAAGCACTAGGCGACACAGGCAAGGAAAAACTTCCTTGAATCCATTTGTTAATCTTTCTGTGGTGCCTGTGTGTTAGCGTGTGGTTTATTTGCATGACGTTGGCTGACCCTGGCTGCTCTCTTTCTCCCGGTCCAGCGGTGGACGAGTGCCAGATCAACCCTTACATCTGCGGGAAGGGGATTTGTTACAACACGGCTGATGGCTACACCTGTCACTGCAATGAGGGCTACCAGCTGGACGACGGCCTGACCACCTGTGTGGGTAAGAGACCCGTCTGGAGGTCATGGGTCAAGTAAAACCTCATGTGGCAGGAAGTCTGTACCCTCATGGCTAACAGAAAGTGTTATTTTCTGTCTTTTTAGGGTGTAGATACAGCTAAAGAAAAGGCCCACATGCACAGCTTTGGGTTCATAACCTGCTGTCTGTGGCTGTGTTACCACAAGATACAACACAATAGAGTTTATTCATCTCCCTGTGGAGGAAATTAAAAAATCATCTTATGTTTGGTACAAAAAATCATTGATATAGACAAATAAATTCCTAAAATAAACAATAAGAATGGTTGTAATCATGTCAGCATTAGTAATAGAATAGAAACCAGTAATAGAAACCCAGAGGAATAAAAAGCTGAACACTATAAGAATGTTTACCCTAAAACAAACATTAAAAACTACAACAGAAAGCGGCCTGCTAAACACAGAAATGTGGAAACATCCGCTACAGTTTCAAAGAACACTTTGAAAAGTGAGAGACATGTTCATCTTTACATAGTAGTCATTTCATGGAGAGATGGGCTTTCAGAAAACAGGCAAAATGGAGTGGTTATGTCCACATCATTAGGGTTAATGATACTAAAAGATTCCAGACATTTTATGTGTCGGGCCATTTGTCAATTTAGTCTGTATCTGAAGTTAGAATATGGAAAAGCACAGCACTAATTCCCGCCCCCCGCTCCAGTTCCCTCGCTGGTACATAAATATGCAGCACTGTGTTATTACGTGGTTTCCTGCCGTTCGGACACGGCTCTCCCCACCCACCAGACCGGGGCTGAATTAGAGCTGTGATGATGATTGTCCCACAGCTGTGGAGGCTGAGGGACAGCATGAGCACTTTTTAAGAGGTCTGACCATGTGCTACCTGACCAGAGGCTCTATTAATAAGAATGACACAAAAAACAGAAGTTGTTGTTCGTAGAATTTGGCATCCCAAAGTTAGGACCATTACTCTGTGGTACGATGTTATTCACTCATCCTTTATTTGACCAACATTTGTTCGAGATGGATGACCGTGAGATGTTAGAACTAGGACTTCCTCCGCTCCAGCTGAATCCATTACAGCTGGAGACAGAAGTGGACAGTGTTAGCATGCAGCCACAGTTCATCGCAGAAGGCTTCCTAAAAAGAGGTGAACAATGCTGAACAGGCCAAACTCACCGGACCTTAGGCGGTATCATGTGGTGTCCTGGTCAAAGACACCGCAAACGTCCAGATATTTTGAGTTTTCTTTGGGGATTTTTATGTGTCTGTGAATCTCACAGGAGGCTAAAACTGCGCAGCGGCTAACTAGCATTTAGCGTAATGTTGGTAATCCCATTAATGTTTTTGGTAATCGGGGGGAGTCCTACTGCTGCCTCATTAAATCTGGATCACACACAGCGTAGGAGGACAGGAGTTTTTTGTAAATGAGCTATCGGACTTGGTCGAGCAATCATTTCAGACTTCTTCTGGTTTTTTGAAGCCTTGTCATCAACATGTTCTGTTTGATTTTTTTTTTTAAAAAGGCCTCGGAGACACAGGATCTCTCACAGGAAGTCACAAACTTCCTGCTGTAAAGTTGTCCTAAAATCATTTAAAAGAGGACTTCAAAGTCCAGCCAGCGGTTTGTTCATTTATCCATCTGTTCTAAAGGCCTAACGCTCTCTGACATAACTAAGCAGGGAGGTTTCCACTTCATCAGATGTGAATAAATCTGAGAGCTCGAGCTATCGTCAGGTTTCTGATTCTTCTTAACTTTCAAACTGCCTGTGACAGAACAGAGTTCCTCCCTGTAAACAGCCTCTCCAGCAGAAGCCCGTCCCACATGCTGTGCTGTGGTCAGAATTCAATTAAATTCAATTCAATTTTATTTATATAGCGCCACATCACAACAACAGTTGTCTCACAGCTTTCCAAACTGAGCAGGTCAGACCCTACTCTGAAGTTAATTACAGAAACCCAACAATTCCCACCATGAGCAAGCACTAGGCGACACAGGCAAGGAAAAACTTCCTTTTAACAGGCAGAAACCTGGAGCAGAACCATGGCTCCTGCCTCACTTTGCCTCTCTGCTTGTGTTTTGCAGATATCGATGAGTGTGAAGACAGCGCGGCGTGTCCCTCTGACATGTGCTATAACGAGCCGGGGGGCTACAGCTGCAGACCCTGTCCTCGGGGCTTCGTGGGACTTGGAGGCCAGTGTGTAGGTGGGTGCTATCCTCCTCCGTTTCCCAAAAGAGCAAATCGATGACTGTTTCTGCATGGACTCAACCTTCAAACTGCATCTTTACTTTGTTCTAAATGTAGGGGTGCAAACTGAAATGCAAAGATTTGGATTAAAAACTAAATAAACAACAAAGACCAAAGTTGCTAAAAGCACAAATGTGGACTTTAACATCCTGCTTAGTTTCAGTGACAAATGCTAATAGTAGAGCTTAGTTTAGCCTTTAATTTTAGTCATTATTTTGCAAATAAAAGAAACTACTGCTTTGCTTGTTTCTCTCGGCAGAAGTTAAAGAGATGAGACAAACTAGTTGTTTTTTTAAATATTTGCTAATGCCTGTAGAAGAACTAATTTAACCACCAGAGGCATGATGGTTAATGTTTCAGGCTTTTTTTCTATGTGTGTATGTATTCTAACCTGGACCCTGTTTTTCAGTACTCATATGCCTTTAATTTTTCATTTATTCAATAGGTTTTTTGTTCATTTATGGATTTATTTAATCTATCATGCTATTATAACTTGATTCAGTATTCAAACCTAAATCTGTGTTCTATGCATCGGTGTGATTAGTAAAAAGCAGTGCAGCTTCCAGTCTATTTTGGGAACTTTTTAGGGACAGTTCTTGGAATAGTTAGATTATATCTTAACCCTAGTGGTTCACGATGGCTTTCTACCAACACACATCCAAAAATAAGGGCAGGACACAACATGCGAACTGAACCGGTCCACCAGTCCGGCCGTAAAACAACAAACCACTCCGACAAACACCCAATGTGGGCACTCGGCTTCCTGGAAGTCCTGCAAAGGAGAAAGCCGAGCAAAATGATTACACCATGCAAATGATTCCTTTAGAGAGTTTATTAAGCCACCTAGCAGATGTCTGCTCCACGCTACCAAACCAAGGAAATGCCACCTCTCACCAGCTGTGTGTGTGTGTGTGTGTGTGTGTGTGTGTGTGTGTGTTTAGTTCCACTTTACAGACGGCTTTTTATAGACACCGAGTGGTTTTATTGTAAATTGGGAAATTGTAGAGGGGTTGGTGTTGGATATTCAGAAGTGATTGCACAGGGAGGACTAAGCTAGTTGTTTTTATTATTTAGCTTTTGATCTTATAGCCCAACCCCAAAAAAAGAAATAATATCTTTTTTTTAATCTATGTTTGTCTTCATTTTAATTTACACCTGTTTAAGCTCAATGATGATCAATATTTTCTGTAGCTTTTGATCTTATAGCCCAACCCAAGAAATAATATCTTTTTGATCTATGTTTGTCTTCATGTTAATTTACACCTGTTTAAGCTCAATGATGATCAATATTTTCTGTACAGTTTACTAAAAACTAAAAGGCAAAAAACCGTGGCGATATATACAGTGGGGGAAATAAGTATTTGACCCCTTGCTGATTTTGCAGGTTTGCCCACTTACAAAGAATGCTTATTTTTCCTCATCAGATGGTTATCAATTTTTATAAACTCATATGATGTGATTTTCTGGAATTTTCTTTGGGATTCTGTCTTTCACTGTTGGAATGTACATATGATTAAAGTTATAGATCGTTGCATTCTTTGTAAGTGGGCAAACCTGCAAAATCAGCAAGGGCTCAAATACTTATTTCCCCCACTGTATAGGTAAATAGGTCTCAGGAACCTTCTCTGACACGGGAGACTGGTTCAGAACGTGTGCATGGTTTGGGTCTGAATTCTGAACAGCTCTCTCCCGCTCTGTGCTTTCTCAGACGTGGACGAGTGCCAGGACGAGCAGGTCTGCGTCAGGGGCCACTGCCTGAACAGCGAGGGCTCCTTCCACTGCCAGTGTGGACCGGGTTTCCGAGCGTCTCCGGCTGGAGATCAGTGTGACGGTAAGGTGGAAAACAAAATGGAAGAAAGCCCATTCCGGTTGGTGTTTGACAGCTGTTCTAGGTGTTGCCAGAGTGGCTCTGAGATGTTAAAATGCTAAAACCCCTACTGCTGACACTGGGAAACACAGCTAGCGTGGTAAACCTGGCTCCATGAGCTTTAGGTTTTTAGAGGCTTATGCTAATACCCATCGCTTTTCACCAAAGTTAAGAGTTTAGGCTCGGTAATTGCACACACAAATTTTTGCAAAGGCTTTGTTCTGCTACGGGTCAGCTGCCATTCTGCCACAGGGTCCACATCTGGACACAGAAACATCAGCTCAGAACCATCAGTTTATCTAACAAGGGTGTTTTTGGGTGGAAGCCAGGAGGTTCCTCAGTTATGTGTTTAACTGAAGTAGAAAGACACGTTTAGCATATAAAGATATGAATAAAGTACCCAAATAAAAGTTGAATGAACTGGATGTGGTGGTATCTAAATAGTAATGTCTTGTAGTTCTTTAAATGGGTTTTAAGGCCTTTTTTGTTCTCTTCCTCACATCGTTTATTTGACTTTGTTGTGCATGTCAAACAACTTTATGCTACACACTGACAGTCAAAGTCACTAATCAATAGAAAGGTTCCTGGTGGGAACCAGGACTAATGAAACAGGTTTCACACGGGTTAGCATCCAGATGCGTGCACCTACCTTCTGAATGCCAGAGCGCACGGGCCTGGTGTTTACTGGAAGCAGCCATGGGCACAGGAACACTTCAGCCATAAGACCAGGGGTGTCAAACTCTGGCCCGTTTTAATTATATTTGGCCCGCCAGACCCGGTATTAAACTGTACGGCACATTAACTTCTCATACTACAACTCCCATAATGCCCTGCTGTTGTTCAGGACAGGACCCAGAAATGAATGCCATTCATGTGTTTTTTTTATTAGAAATTTGATTTAGTATCTCTCCTCTATGAAGTTATATATACAGTGGGGGAAATAAGTATTTGAGCCCTTGCTGATTTTGCAGGTTTGCCCACTTACAAAGAATGCTTATTTTTCCTCATCAGATGGTTATCCATTTTTATCAATTCATATGATGTGATTTTCTGGAATTTTCTTTGGGATTCTGTCTTTCACTGTTAGAATGTACATATGATTAAAGTTATAGATCGTTGCATTCTTTGTAAGTGGGCAAACCTGCAAAATCAGCAAGGGCTTAAATACTTATTTCCCCCACTGTAAAATGTTTTTTAAATTGCTTGTTCCATATTCAATGTTAAAGCAACATTTGTTTTGTTCCATATTGAAAAGGTTCATTTGTTCAATTTGGCCCGCCGAGTTTGACACCCCTGCATTAGACTGACCGAGCGTGCTCCTGAGACTTGTGTCTGGGTCTGTGTGCCCTCCAGATGTGGACGAGTGTGTGGAGGAGACGCTGGCGTGCGCCGTGGGGGAGTGCGTGAACAACGTGGGCTCGTACAGCTGCTCCTGTCCCGAGGGGCTCAGGCAGGTCAACGGCACCACCTGCACAGGTAAGGCCACGCCCCCCTGGCTCTGGGAGGGCGCCACACAGCCCTAAAGAGCATAGGAGCAGCAACAAAAGCCTCCCTTTTGTTTCTGGGTGCCGTCCAGATGTTGACGAGTGCGTGGAAGAAGCCGAGCTGTGCTCCCCGCATGGGAAGTGCCTGAACACGGACGGGTCCTACCTGTGTCTGTGTGACGGCGGGTTCACGGCCAGCCTGGACACGCCCTCCTGTGACGGTGAGCTCCAATCAGCATCTGGACCTCATGGACACACTGGGAGGGGGGGGGAGGGCACGGTGGTGAAGTGGTCAGCACCATCACAGCCAGAGGGTTCTGGGTTGGAATCCCCGGGGGAACCAGGACCTTTCTGTGGACAGAGGGTTCTGGGTTGGAGTCCCCGGGGGAACCTGGACCAGAGGGTTCTAGGTTGGAGTCCCGGGGGAACCAGGACCTTTCTGTGGCCAGAGGGTTCTGGGTTGGAGTCCCGGGGGGACCAGGACCAGAGGTTTCTGGGTTGGAGTCCCGGGGGAACCAGGACC